AAAAAAAAAAACCTGACTACTCAAACCAGTAGCCCCCCCCCCCCTTCTCCATTCCCTGTGTGGGGTTGGGAAGCAGGGGGCACTGACCACCCCTTCTTAGATCTTCCTTCTCTCTAAGAAAATGAGAAGCCTAGAACCCCATGGCAATCTTGTCTAAAAAGTGGAGTTGTAAAACTGCTCCTTCTCACCTATTGCCGGGACAAGACACTGTGGGGTGAGGGCAGTCCCCACCAGCCCCAAACTGAGAAGCCCCTGACACCCCCCTCCCCAGAACTCTCTGAAGGTCCCCCAACTAACCAGTCCCCTCAGCAGACCTGCCTGCTTCAAAGGGCAGCGGTGGAGGGGATCTCCCGGGAAGGCTCTCACCAACCAATTCCTGGGGCCGCCCCGCGGGAGGTGGAGCAGGCTTGTAGCTCGGGGTGCACAGCACAAAAGCAACCTGAGTGTAGGGGCATCCCCAGTGGGAGCCAGGGGCTGAAGAGGGAATGCAGGACCCTTACATTCAGGCAACCCCAGGACCTTCCCGCTGCAGCGTCCCGGGCCTCTCAAAGACCCGGACCATGTCAAATGCCTGAAGGGAAGGTCTTCTCCCCTTCCCGCCCCCCGCCCCCCGACCGATTCCCATGGGCATCCTCCCTTTCCACTCCCCACCGCTCCCAAGGAACTCCGGGGGACCTACACTCGCTGCCACAGAAGTTAACTATGAGTGCTGAAGTCAGAAGCGCGGACAGGGTCAGCCCGTGGGGAGGGGCGGGGAGGACCAGAACATGCCTTGGGGGGACCTTCACCCCCACTTTGCAAACTATGTTACCTACCAACGCGAGGGCAAAGGTCACTACTCCAGGAGGTCCCAAACCTGTCTGAGTCCCGGGGCTGAGCAGGCGGGGACAACTTGCCCCTCACACACACTCTACCCTCCATGAAGCCCCCGGGGCACTCCCCCACCCGCTCCGGCAATCTTCCCCGGGCGCAGCGAGTGCGCGGCTGGGAACCGGTACCTGCTTCCGCAGCGCCTCGAAGGCTGCGCTGATGGTGTGCACCCGCGTCCGCTCCCGGGCGTTCGCCAGGAGCCTCCGGGTCTGCTGCAGGGCTTTGATCTCGGAGGAGGCGGCTGTCGCTTCCCCCGGCCGTTTCCTAGGCGACGCGGAGGAATCCGGGTGGTTATTGTAAATTACGTGTGAAATTGACGAGTAGGAACTTTCCCCAGGGCGCGTGGGGGGCGCGGGGCGCACCGAGGTCTCCGGGGGCGCAGGGGGCGCGGAAGGCATNGGAAGGCATTGGGCGAGCAGGCGGTGCGCACAGCAAGATACGCGGACGCAGGCCGGGTTCCCGGAAAGGCTGTACCTCGGGACCCCCGAGTACCTGGCCCTGGGGCGCTGGAGGCGGAGGTGGCGGCGTGGGGAGTCCCGGACCCACAGCGCCCAGGGCGAAGCCGCGTTTCCGCGCGTCCAAGACCTCCGGCGCCCGGACGCCCCCGCGCTCCCCGGCGGTGTCCGGGCCTCCACCTGAGGGAACGGCTGGCGCCACTGGGACTGGCACCGGGGTCGGGACCGGCTGCAGTCGCTGGGTCCTGTCCCGCAGCCCGTTGGTGGCAGCGGCGCCCGGCTCGGGCGCTTCCAAGTCCAATCGGAAAGTTTTATAACCATTCGCGCGCCGCGCCGGCTCCTTGCCTTTCCGCTTGAGCTTCTTGAGGCCGTTCAGCTCCTTCACGCACACGGTCTTCCACGGCCCGTCCTCGAGGACTGGGATGTGCTTCATGGCGCGGGCGACGCGCGAGGCAGAGGCGCGGGGCTGCCCG